ATATATTTTTTGTCGTTCAAGGTTCTTTCCTATTCCTAACGTTCTTTTTGTATGTTTTCAGATATTCAATATTTTTTAAAATGTTTCCTTTTTTGTATTTTTTTATTTATAATTAATCTTGAAGAATTGGTTCATCAAGCTCACTAGTGTATATCCCGTGCGATGCACGGAAGAGTTTATATTTTAAACATTTTTTAAACTTTATTTTAAATATAATTATTTATATTTTTCACATCTTGTCTATTATGAAAATAAAATAAATACAATCAATGAAAAATATATAATATTAAATACTTTTCTTTATACAATATTTTTTATTTAAAGAATATTATTAAACCTTACGGTTTTGACTTGTTTTTTTAAATCAATAATCCAAAATATATGATACAAAAAATAATGGAAATAATCCAGACTGTAAAGTAAAGCTATTTTTTATTATTTTACAAATAAAAATCTTCCATTTTTTTTAATTTCAAAAAAAAAATTGGCAATTTTGATAATAAGTTAAATCAAGTTATACAAATGATTAAATAGTTAAAATGTTATATTAATTATATTTTAAGAAATTCGATTATATAAAAATGGGTAAAAAAATATTATACTAATTAGTTTGTTAGGATCGTGATTGTATGGAAGTTAAAATAAAATGAAATGTAACCAAAAAATTTGTTCGTGGTTTCCTAAATGTTTGAATTTAAAAATCTAGTAACCAAATTTACATTATATCACGTAAGAAAAAAAAATAAATAATAAATATTTATTAAAGAGATAAATCAATAATATTTATCACTTAGATAATAAATAATAAATATTTACATGTAAAAAAATAAATAATAATATATTTAAAAATATAAGTCAGAATTTCAAATAAAGTAAAAGGAGGGATAACTCATTTTTTAAAAAAAGTTTCTAAATATTTAATATATTGATAAGTATCTCCATAAGAATAATCATACCATTTTAATTTTAAAAAAATTGGCAAGTTTGTTAGAGAGATAAATCCGGTTAGACAAATGATTAATTTGTTAAGATATTATATTAATTGTATCATAAAAAATCGGTTAGATAATGTAGATAAAAAAATATAATACTAATTAGTTTGTTAGAAATGTGATAATGAAAA